CTGTAAGAAAAGTGAGGCGCGAACCGGAAAAGCTTCTGCCAATCACAATTCAACAACGGATTATGAAAGAACGGATAACGCTCGAAACGCGCAGATTCTTCCTGATGTAAGAGGTGAGTCTCCTCTAAGTTTAGGTTGTTTTGGCGTCGACATCGTCCTAGCGTACAATGTTCTGTCACTCTTTAAAAAAAACAGTAAAAATGCTGAAGAACGCTGGCAGCGAATGGCTTTACCGACCAGGAAACGGCTGGCAGCGAACGAGTTAACTCTAGAGGAGCAGCAGCTCTACTCCAAGCCCCTCCCAGATAACAAAACTCCATACACCAGCCAATCAGGGGTGTGTTTAGCGTGTGATGGAGCCCTGAAACGGCTCATTCTGGAAGGCACTGAAACTGTAGTGAATAAAGCTGCTGAGACTGTTTACGTGAGAGAGATTTAGTGCAAAGGTTGCTAATCGTGTTTGTAATGACCACAGAGCTATGATAATAAGTAAGAAAGAAAACTGAGCTGCAGTCACAATCAGGCCGTTTTCAGCGCGATCGGCTTCATTTGACACTCAAAAATCAGCTTTTAAACACAAAGTCAGTCAAGCAACTTAGAAGATGATGTTTGAGTCAATCAGAAATCAGCTGATTAAATCAGAATTAAATCTGAATCCAATCTAAAGCCAGAACTTATCGGTTCCATCCATGTAAACTTGGGTCTAAGCCGTAAATCCAAACCCTAAAAACAAACACGACTGGTGTCGTTTTTCCTCTGTACTCCTGTGAGCTGAAGGTAAACACTTGTGAGGCTGTGTTCCATTTTGCTGCGTCATGCCTGATTTGAAATGACTCAGACCAGTGTGGCCAGTGCTGCGCTACGCCATCATGTGATAATCAGCCCCAGTGCATGGTGGGATTTCTTGGATCACGTTCAGTCAGCAGCTGATTGTGCAGAGTGGTTTCATAACGACTCGGCCGTACCCCGCCTGCTGTCACACTAAAGTGTTTTTACATCATTTACAGGCTAGAGGTCAGTTTTTCTCTGCTGCACCTGAACGCACCATGACTCAGGGTTCTGATGCCTAAAATGAATCCAGATCTACAGAAAATGAGTCACACTACGACAGATCCATCTGCTTCACTCCTTCTTCATCTCCTGGGACCGAGCGACAGAGGGCCTGTCGTTGTGAGTCATCGCTGCGTGATTCGCTGCTGCAGGTCCGTCGGGAGCCTCTTTCCTCGCACATGTCTGCAGTGATGCTCGGCGTTCCAAACAGCAGCGTTATGAGCTCAGCACAGATCTGAGCACCAAGCGAGGTTAAAGCCGTCTCTGCTGCTGGTGAGAGTGCCGTCCTTCCAACGGGTTTTCTACCGTTGCATAGCAACAGCCGTCACCCGAGCCTTCCACAAACAGCGAGTCAGCGTTAACAGTTACAAAATAAAAAAATAAAAAGACTCTGATGAAGCAACCCTCTGACACCTCTCAGCCCCGTGCACAAAGACATCTGCTGCAGACTGCAGCGAGGATCCCGAGCTCCCATCACTTCCTCATAGGATACTGCTCAGATAGTGTTGCCAGGCAACAAACCAAATTTGAGCCTGCGAACATGGTTTGGGCTAAAAATGTAATTAGAGAAGCAAAATTACAACAAAATGTAAAAAATACAACACAGGAGGAGAAAAGGGGAGCTGCTTGATAAGTGGTTACCATGGCGATCAAAACAGCAAACAGCTTCAGTTTTTACACAAAGCTTCTCCAGAGCACCACCGCAAACAGCCACTTGTACCGATTCAAAGAGCTCTTTTACATAATACCGGCCAATCAGAGCCCCACCAGTGAAGTTCAGATGCTTCTGGAGCCTCCAACAACAAACATCTCCGCATGTGGGGCCCATGTGGGTCAGAACTGGGCTGAAAACGGGACTGTCCTCAGGTTTTATTATGGGCTAATATTACCCCCCCACCCCCCCCCCCCCCCCCCCCCCCCCACACACACACACACACACACACACACACACACACAACTCTGGGAACTACAGTAAGTGGGACACACACAAAACCCATCTGGACCCCATCTTAGTGCGTAGCATGTAGACCTACACAGGTCCCATCTAGGACTTGCCTAGGACCTACACATGGTTCCAATCCAGACCCGACATCACCCAAGTGGGGCCCAACAGAATGGTCAAAGCCGATGAGAGGAAGGACGTTTATCAGTCCTGCATCCAACAATCACAGAGAACCGTGTCACGAGGAAAGTCCTCTCCTCCAGATGGAGAAAGACCAGCATCACTTCTACTTTTAGGTCTTTTAAACTAGAAAAATCACATGCTGGTTGCATTTTGAGCCAGCAAAGAAACGGCAAAGCAAAAGAGTTAAACTTTGGTGAACCTACGCCTTAAACCTGTGAGACAGAAGCTGCAACGGTGGTAGCTTCCAAAGATATCCACGATATCCAGAAAACCAGACAACACCTAGAACTCCAACGTCACATCCCAGAAATAAAGCATCGTTTTGTAAACCAAGTCTTTTTAAATGAGTCTGGTTTCCTTCCATCTCGTGCTACCTTTGGCTTCAGCTGGAACAAAACCCATCAGAACTTACGGTTTGGGGTGGTGCAGGGTGTGGGCGTGGTGGTTGTTGGAAGCGTTGTCCCGGTGAAGGCGTTCCAGCCTCTCCTTCTCTTTCTCCACAAAGTTAGTGTTGGTCCCGGTGCTTGTGGACGGCGCTCGGGTCAGCCGGCTGTGGGCGCGTGGAGGATCTCTGGGTGGAATCGGAGGAGGGGGAGGTGGAGCCGGGGCCGACGGGGACACCGGAGCTGGGACTTGGGTCGGTAAAGAGATGGAGACTGGGTTTGCTAAAGGTGGAGCAGCAACACTGGTTGTAGTGCTGTTGTAGGAGTGGTGGTGCTGCTGCAGCTGATGGTGCTGGACCTGGTGGCTGTGGTGCAGGGGGATGGAGGTGGGGGGCTGGGCAGGAGCCTGGCTGTTGTACTGGTGGTGATTCTTGGTAGAAACCGACGTAGTCTGGTTCAGAGGAGGTGGTGGAGGAGGTGGAGGCAGAGGAGGCTCAGGAGGAGGAGCCACAGGTTGCCTATCCAAACGTAAGTCCTTGTTTTCTTGGCTCAGGCGGTCCAGTTGGACCTCCAGCTCTTCAATTCTGCGCCGCTGGGTTTCCAGAAGCTTCTGTTGGCTCTCGATGATGTTGTTCAGCTCAAGGAGGTACTCCACGGCCCGGTTCGGGCTCTCAGGACTGCCCTGGCCTGGGCCTTGATTAGCATCCATGACTGACTAAACAGGCTAAGGGCTAGCAAGGCTAAGGGGCTAGCAGAGCTAAGGGCTGAAAGAGGCTAAAGCTATCAGAGCTAAGAGCTAGCTTTCTGCGTTGAAGGTGAAAGAAGCAACAGAATCCTAAACCCTACAGACTAAAATCTACACCCTGGAACCCCGAGTCCTACACTTTAAAACAGGAAGTACCCTCACCCTCCCCCCCACCAGAGGTGAGTGGGGGGGAGAGGACCTTTCCTCGTCTGAACTCTGATCTAAAAATCAAGAAGGGTCTTTTTCTTTTGTGCTCCAGTCAGGCAGTTTGAAGGAGCTGATGGCCATTCCCAGGTCGGTCAGGTCTTCCTGTGGGAGTTCAGATCCATCCCGGGTAGAACTCCAACAAAAACCTGACAAACACGGAGTCAGCAGTCCGTTTATGTTAGTCAGTAAATCAGCTGTACCGTCTCTCTGAGCTCCATTCAGAATGTCGGTGTCCAGCAGCCAGATGTGAAGACTGCAGCTGGTGGAGGATGCATTTGTCCATCTGCTTCAGGGAAACCGGACCAGCTCATTCTCCTCTGTCCAGAACTCCTTTTCCATCCAGCTTCTGATATCTGAGTGTAGCAGGAGGAACGCAGCCAGCGCCACCACGTGCACGGCTCCAAACGTGTTTGCTAATCACCTTCGGTTTCCCTGCAGAGCCTTTCCCTAAAATCCTGGAGTCAGAAAATCCGTTGGATCAGTTCTGAGTGGTGTCGGATCAGTTTGTCAGGAAAGCAAACAAAACAAAAGTTATTCAAAGATCGTTTTTTTAAATCCTCTTCGGCTGGACGTGAACGCTGTGATGCTGCAGGACTGAACTTCCAGAGGATTTATCAGATCCTGGTATCCTTCACAGATGTGAGCCAGCTTTCCAGATCCACCGTAGTTCCTTCAGCTTCCAGAGACTTCTCCAAGCAGTTACATGTAAAAGAAGAAAGAAAAGGCAGATGAGACGGAGTCACCCACGACACCTTCTCTGTGTGGTTTCTGAAGCAAACACCTGTTTCTTTCCTTTCTTTTACTGCTCTGAATCACTGATCTCCCTTTTTTCTTCCATCTGTTGTCGTCTCTCATCTCCGTTCCTCTGTTCTCTCTTCCTCAGATAAAACTACATCTCTGCCATCAAAAAACAAACTATCACACCAACAGCACCTCCTCCTACACGCCATCCTCCTCCTCCATCTTTCTGTCTTTATTTTCCCTCTTTCAAACCTCCTCTGTTTCAGTTGGCGTTTGAGTATTCTACCATGTTTCAGACATTATTAAACAATCACAGCCTCAGCTCCGATGCTTCAACCAGTCAGGGGCCTCATTTATCAAGCTAGCTTACGCACAAAACGGGGTTGGAAAACTGCGTAAGCAACTTGCCACGCAAACTTTGGGATTTATGAAAGAAAACTTAGCGGAAAAATGTGCGCAACTTTAAGTTGACTAAGGACCTGACTTACACACATGCTGGACATGGAGAGCACCTGCAGTGCTGCTGCTGAGAAGGATAAAATTATGAAATCTTGCAGCATTATCACTTGTACTGCTTCATTTTCACATAGAACAAGAACCCCCCCCCCCCCCCCCCCCACACACACACACACACACACACAGCCTGAAGCACAGAATATCAGCAGGGGGACAGATTGAGACAGGATGTCATGCGTCTGTGACAGTGTGTGTCCTGTCACTGTGACCTGATTGATCATGCGCCCTGGCTACTTGGACTAGGGAGATTTCTGTTTGGGTGACTGGTTAGCGTGCGTGACTTTCACCGGGGAGTCTGGGGATCGAATCTTGATTGGACCATTTTTTTTATATCCGCCACAGATCTCTCTGAAGAAGTCAGCATTGACGGCTTCAGCAACGCTGTGCCACACCATGGATTTTCTCTTCTTTGTTTTGCAAAAGCACTTCCTTTCATTTCTCCACCTCACCCACAGGTACCTCAACTTCTGCTTGTGTGAAATAGCGCTTCCTTGATCTGCCTTGATCTACGGTCGCCATGTCATTGGTGGAGCGCTGCAACAGCCGGCTTATGTATATGCATGAGATCCACAAGGCACTTTGCATTGACCATTTATGGCAGTAAGTGGGCGCGGTGAGGGCGGGATGTGACTAAAAAGCAGCTGAGAAACATTCTCGTTAGTCTCTGATTTATGAAGCGGAGATTGCGTGCAGCTGTGCGTACTCCATGTTTGATAGATCACAAACCTACTTGGCGTAAGTACATTTTTTTGCTGAGCTTAAGTACGTTTTAGTAAGGATTCTACGCAATGTTTGATAAATGAGACCCATGGTCTGTATCCCACAGCCAGATCTCTGACACTCAAAAGCACAAACTAGACCCAGCCAGGTGTTCAGCTCCTGTTCACACCTTTCCCGGTAAGAACCTCCTTCTCCGGGGCATCAGGCTGGATCCAGAATCCGTTCCAGGTTTAATGAGAGAATCAGAAGAGGAACGCTGACCGTAACAACAGTCAACCCATAGTTCTTGAATTAGTCGATGAAAGAAAACAGATGGGACAACATTCGCAACCGTCGCCAGACGCCAGAAAAAGCAGAGCGCACCTTGGCTAGTAAAAGCTAACAGTTAGCATAAGCAACATGGCGGAACATGTTGGGGCTAGTGTTTTATGTGGCCATAAACAAGTCAATGTTTCATCTTTTACCAGTGAAAGCAGAGCAAACAGAGGCAGCGGAAGAGTTGTGATGTTGCATTATTTTCTTCATTTACCCCTCTCGCCGAGAACTGTCCAAACTTCTCACGCGTCGCCGCCCTACTACATGCCCCCTCGACCCCATTCCGACTAAACTGCTCCAATCTATTGCTCCTACAGTAGCCGCAGCAGTCACACGTGTGATTAATGCTTCACTGACATCTGGAACATTTCCCACCTCTCTCAAGCACGCTCATTAAACTGCTGCTAAAAGACCTTCCCTTCCTCCGAATCAGGAGAACTACTGAGCCATTGCTCTCCCCCCGTGTCTGTCTAAAATCATCGAATGGGGGACCTTCAAGCAGATCACAGAACACCTCTCACAAAACTGTCTGCTTGACCCTTCTACTACCAACCTGCGTTCAAAATGGCCACTCCACTGAAACAGCTTTGTTAGCAGCGACTGAAGCCTTCAAAGAAGCTAGAGCGACTGCCAAATCCTCAGCACTTATCCTGCTTGACCTATCGGCTGCATCTGACTCTGTCATCCACGCTCTCTAGCATGGGCATCACAGGGAAAGCACACTCCTGGTTTGACTCGTACGTGACAGGACGATCATTTAGTTTATCTTGGTTTGGACAGTCTTCTGCTGTTCACCATGTTACCACAGGAGTCCCCCAGGGTTCTGTACTAGGACCTCTTCTCTTTGCCATACACACCACCTCACTGGGTGAGATCATTCGATCACATGGCTTCTCCTACCTATCTTCATTGAGCCAATCGGTAACAAGTTTCCTATATAAGGAACCCAGCAAATTGCATCGAGTCACTGACTAGTGTCAGAGTCTTTACAGCAATCCTCATACTAAGCAAGCATTTAGTGACAGTGGAGAGGAAAAATCCCTTTTAACAGGAAGAAACCTCCAGAGGATCCTGGCTCAGTACAAGCAGCCATCCTCCACGACGCTACTGTGAGACCTCTTCAAATGGTCCAGAACGCAGCGGCGCGTCTGGTCTTCAGTCAGCCTAAAAGAGCACACGTCACCCCTCTGTTCATTGAGCTCCACTGGCTACCGCTAGCAGCACGCATCTAATTCAAACTGCTAACACTAGCATACAAAGTCCGAGATGGTACGGCTCCCATCTACCTGAATCCTCTTGCAAAGGCTTACGTCTCGGCCCGGCCGCTCCGGTCATCACAGGATCATCGGCTAGCAGTGCCTACACCACGCTCAGGACAATCCAGACTCTTCTCATGCATCGTTCCACAAATGTGGAATGACCTTCCAAGCACTACCAGAACAGCGGCTTCCTTGTCGACTTTCGAGAAACTCCTGAAGACCCTGCTCTTCAGAGAGCATCTCCTAAACCAGCACCCGTCCCCCACTCTGCTGTCCTCTCCATGTTCTCTTCACTTTATGACTGATCCTGCTGCCTCAGCGCCACCTAGGACTGACTGATTAGTGTTTGTTGTCGGCCTCGAGGGCGACCTGCTGCTTCATCATCACCTGGAAGTCTCTTTGGACAAATGCGTCTGCTAACACATAAGCATGTTGTTG